TTTTTTTTTTTTTTTTTTTAATTTGAATTTAAGATTGGAACAAAACCAAACTCAGGAAGATGGTGGAACATGTATCATCCCCTGTCAAGCCCAACCTGAAAACCAGGCAAACAGTAATGCCACCCTGGACTGTTTACCTTTTTGCCTAGAGCCCTGGTCCAGACAGAAATTCCTCCTTTAATGGGGCAGGCACCTTTTGGAGTCCCTGGCAGTGTACTGCCCGTTAAATGCTGCTGCTCAAGAGTTAGGAGGAAGCCTGGGAGGTGGGAAGGGTTTCAAAGCCAACTCCAAGGCACATGCCTGGAGAGGCTGGTGCAGTGTGAAAACAGAACTGCTGCCATTTCACGGTCCGCCAGATGGAATGATTTTGGAGGATCTGCTGTGAGGAAATCTTGGAAGGGTTGTCTCTCCTTCCTGGGATACTGCCACAGGACGATGTGATCTGGGCCATAGCTTGGTAAATAATCTCATAAGCTCTCTTTAAGAAGTAGAACTCTTTATTAACTTATTAACTCAGTGCAGATGCATGTAAAATACATTAAGACCCTGATCCTGCAACTAGATCTGTGTAGATTGACTCCCTATACCAATGAAGAGTCCCAGTGAAAACATTGGGGGGTCCACACAGGAGCTGGGGTCTTCCTCTGCAGACTAATTGGTTCAGTTCTTGCACAGATGGGAAGTGCCACTTCCTGTATCTCCAATATCACTTTCTGCGGTTTCCTAGGCTTTTCTTAGCGCCTTCTCCATCCAAGAATTCAGCCCAATCCTACTTAGTCTATGATCTCAGCCCCAGATGGTATGGGAAATGCGTATCTGCTGAAGTCAGATGTGCATAGCAAACAGTAGGAGGCAAATAGGGATATTTTCTGTAGACACCTTTGCAGTCAACCATTGTGAGGCCTTAGAGAACTGAACTGAGTATAGATCTCTGGTGGGATTTTTCAGAAGCACCTAAGACACGGGAGCATATGTCCTATGGACTGTCAACAAGACTTTTGTTCTAAGGCCTAGATTTTTTTTTTTTTTTTTTTTTTTAATGTACTTAGTCATTGCTCTATTCAGCATTGCAAGACCTAGCTGACTTCGGAGCCTAAGTCCCTTTGAATTGCCTTTTAATATATGTTTTATTCTATATAAATTGTATGAATTTCAGTGGGACTTACGCAGTGCAGCATTGAGCAAATAGGTCCAGATTTTTAAAGACATAGAGGTGCCTAAGTCTTTAAGGCTCTCAAGACAATTCCCTCCTTTTCTTCACTATATTATAAACTTTGTTGTTCCATGTGTGACGTGTTGGACTCTCCTCCCCTCACCCTCCCCCGTCCGGGATGCCACCCGATATGCTAGGGTCCCACTGGTTCTGCCCGTTCCACCAGGCTGGTTTTCCTCACCTTGTCCTAGCTGTGCCAGTCTCTCAAGCCTTCCATAGCACACACACAGGTAAGGCCACACCCAGCTGCAGACACAGATTGAAGTCAGCTCTCTGTGAGAGGATGCACCCAGAACTCATGTGCACACCCCCTTTGGGGAGTAAACCCAAAATAATCTTGTCTTGTGCTGTATAGAAAGATCTGCACAGTGCAAGCTCATCAAAATTTATTCTCTCCCTCAATGTGGAGAGAGAGATGCACAGTTTACCCTCCCCACCCCCCAGATATGAATTGCACAAACTGGGTTTTGGAATAAACTACTAACAAGTTTTCTTAACTATAAAAGGTAGATTTTAAGTGATTATAAGGGATAACAAACAGAACAAAGCAGATTACTGAGCAAATAAAACAAAACACACAAGCTAGGCTTAATACACTCAAGAAATAGGTTACAAAATGTAATTTCTCACTATGTGTTGTTTTAGGCAAGTTGCAGAGTTTCTGTAGCTTAGAGTTCCAGTTATTTCTCTTTACAGAGTAGACTCCTGCCTTTGTCTGGACTTAGCCCTTGCCTTTCCCTCAGTTCAGTTCCTTTAAATCTTCAGGTACTTTCAACAGTCTTCCTTCTTGGGCAGGAAGGCAATGGAGAAGAGACCTGTTTGCCTTACTCCCCAGCCTTAAATAGAATTTACATAAGGTGGGAAGCCTTTGTTTCAGGTGGGAAAGTACTAGCGGTGTCCAAGGTGGTACTTTTTATCAGGCAACATTATTACCTGACCTTGCAGTGTCAAAGCAACCATGAAACTAATTTTATTTGCAATGTCCACAGGAAGGAACTCCTGGAAGATGGGGGATCCACATCTTTGAAGACTCATTGTCTTTTTCCTAATGGCTCATTAAGGCTGATTGCTTACTGTCTGGTGGGCATCTCCAAGTGTAACCACAGTTGTAATTGTTATATAGTCAACATTCCTAACTCCAGATACAGAAATGATACATGCATCCAAATTGGATAATCACATTCAGTAAATCACAACCTTTCCAATGATATCTTACATGAGCCATATTGTATACAATATATCTTAGTTATGCCCTATTCATATCATAAGCATATTTCTATAAAGAATATGGAGTGTCACATCACACTATGTATTCCTGTAGAGGCAGTAATGGGATAGGCCCTTCCTGTACACACAGGGACAGCTCCTGTTCTGCATAGGCACAGAGCTCCTCCCATGTGGAGCAGCTTGTAGAATCAAGGCCTGTGAAGATGAGCAACACATGAAGGGCAGGGATAAACCATCTTCTTTCTTCTCTTTATCCCATTAACTGGGGTTTGGGTCATCATGCAACCTCCACCATCTTTGTCTGTCCAAGGTGGCACTAAGATCCATCTGTTGAGCATCTCCTTTTATTCAATTCATCCACCGCTTCCTCAGCTTTCCTTGGGGTCTCTTTTCTACCACCCTCTTCTTTTCTAGGTCTCCTTCATTCAGTTGTACATCAAATAACTAAAATAAAGGAGCATTTTTCAAGGGAAAATGCACAAACTTGGCACGTGTACCCATAGGAACTCATTATTCCATTATGTATGCCGTGTGAGTGTAAATAGTTCCACAAGTAATTTTTAAATGTATAGCTGCCATAAATTAGCCGAAATTTCAGCTGAACTACTGAATCTGCAAGCTGCGTGGGGGGAGGGGGGTGTTTGTTTTTGTTTCTGTAGTTTTTTTTTTCACATGATGGCTTGATAGTTGTCATCTTGTTCTCAACAGACTTGAAATAATGAAATCAAGAAGCTTTTGGTCACTTCTGGTGTTGCTTGAGGTCTTCCTGTCCATCACTTGTGGGTGGATGGAATCGGACAGGATCAGAAGGCTTTATGCGGATGCAGGGAGATTGCAACAAAAGGTACTATGAATCAGCTGTCATTTCATGTTCTCTCTAATGCTGCTTTCAGCTTTTTCAATGTGGTATGGGAAAAGCGGCGAGGGTCACATTGTGAAGATAAATACTTGCTGAGGGGGACAATGGAAATACTAACGTTGAGCTATATGTTCTATAAAACAGAAGGCTTCACTTCTTCTCCCCACCTGTAGTTTCTTTTATTAGTATATTACAGTAGTGTTCAAAGTCTCCAAGTGTTATACAAACACGCAGACCTTGTCCCTACGCTATATATGGACAGTCACCTGAGGATCTAAAATCTTAGAAATTGGTATTCTGATTTTACAAAAGGGGATGCTAATCCACAGTTATTTTCAAGTGGCTTGCCAAGATCCTCACTCAGAACCTTCCCACATTTCATTAGATTCCCCAAACCTGAGGCTTGTGATGTAATATGGGGAAATGGAAAGGATTTCTAAAGGTATAATAGTTCATCATTGCTTACTATTACTAAGACTGCATACAGCCAACAGAGTAACTTTATAGTGTGTTATTTGATCACAAGGCATGACTTCTCATTCATTATTATATAATTGCAATGCACTCTTAAACCTACAGGCACCAGGCTTCTGGGAACTGTGCAAGTAACTGAATCTGTGTTTTCATTGCTGAAGTTAAAATGTTGGCTTTCTTTGCAATGATTAAACAGAGACTCTCTATAAACTCTGAATAGCATTCTGCATCAGTATTTCAAGGTAAAAATATTCAGACTGTGTCCTTATCAGAGTTCTTGATGTGAATTTGTTCATCATAATAGGCATGTAAGAATCTAGGAAGCTCATTTGTTAAACTTATTTTTAAATAATGAGGGCCAGACCAAACTTGTGGGGAGAACAAGAACGTTACTGAACATTTTTTTTAAAGGTACAATGAGAATGATGAAACTCTTTTTTTATTTTATTATATTTTTACTTCCTATTTATCGTGAATTTTCTAACAAATTGCCTTGTTTTCAAAATGAGTGACTTTTTTTTTTTAAATTGGCAGACTCTTGAAGCAGTTGTTTAATGGCATACTTGAGGCATGTTAATTGGTACATCACAGATTCTGGACCAAATATTAGCCATTGAAAGTATGGTGATGAAGGAACAGCCAGCAAGGCGTTTTTATATTTAAGAATGTTGGTTTTTCTCTGTGTGCGCGCACGTTCATCTCTCAATAAGATGGTTTACATGATGTGTTTCTCAAGATATACTATAAGTACACTTATTATTCACTGCTGGATCACTTCAAAAAAATCAATTCTGACCGAGTTGGTGATGACACTGCAAAGGTTGGCACTCTGTCTCTCATGCTCACAGGCACTCTTTCCGTGATTTTTAGAGCAACAAAAATCTGTTACTGCTTTCAGCTCTCCTGCCTCTACGCCCCCCCCCCCCCTTCATGCCATCTATTTTTCTGCTTTCGAGCCCTATGCAGGATACTAGTGCTTGTAATGTTAAATTAATTTAGCATGTGTGCTTTAAGATCCACTCTCATGTCTTTTTTGTTTCAAATTGCTTTTGCTTTCTTTTTAAAGATAACTAATTGTATCTTGCATGCTTTTTGGATTTAGAAACTGTTGTGCCATTCTTCATGAAGTACATGCTTATTAGAAATTTGACTTTCTAAAAGAATGTTACTCCTAGGAGTGAAATTCATTAATCAAATGATTTAGTATAATAGTTTTTATATTTTTATATTAAAATACTTGAAAGACATTCATTCATTTGATCTTGCTCTAAAACCATAAAGTTATTACACCAATTACTTGATTTGGCTCAGGGTGAAAAGATCTAAGCTCCTGATGTATTTGTTCAAAGATTTGTAAAAGATTTATAAGAAGTGTGAATATTAAAATATTGAAATGTTTTTATGTACAAAGGCTGTAGTTGAAATAGCTTCAAGGGGTATAACATTTATAAATGCAGATTAAATAAAAAAGCAGCACAGAAGGCTTGTTCAACAAGCAATACTGTTTGTACAGTGAGGAATAGAATACCAATAGGAATTTGAAAACAAATTACATGCAACTCTATTCCAGACAATCAGTGGAATTGTGAAATAGCCTGCCATTCTCTTTTAATTTCTTTCAGAATAAAGGCATTTCACCCTTTCAGAAAGTACAGCTTGTTCATGCCACTGTTTATCACAACAAAAACTATTTGGAAAGTTCCTATTCTCTCTTGGTTATATTTGCTTCTGTTTAACTTCTGTTTTATTTCCTGTCCTATAACATCAGCAACTTTACTGTTATAGAAATGGAAAACTTGTAGTTTCTCACAGTTCATGGATTTAGAACCCGTGACAGTCAGTTGCTTTGTCATGGCGGTGGTTTGTTCATAAGAAATGTTTATTAATTATCAAACAAATGGTTTCTGACTTAGAATTACAGCAATTATATATACTAGAAGACATTCAAACCATGGAATGATAAATGGCAAAATTCCTAAGCTGTAACTAACTAAAATTACATTTTAAAGTTAATTTTCTTAGAATAAGAAAAGGGCTATTTCACAGGTCAAATGATCTCAAGTTAATTTTGTAGGGAGTTTAGTTCAAAATATATCAAAACAAGGGTAAGGGACCTAGTAAGGGTCCCCCACCTTTACAAGTGTTTGCTCTGATCTACATAGGCGCCAGTTTACTGAATCAAAAATGTATTGCTTAATTTATGTTCAAATTCCTAAATCTATTTCTTGCTGGTCTATAGTAGAACTTCTTGTGTTTTGTGCTTTGAATTTATAAAGCACAAGCAAGATTTGCGGCTATAGACTGTGCCCTTCATGTGTGATATGTATTCACCCTTATGTCCAAGAAATCTAAATCTATATTATCATGGCAGTGTGTGTGTTTTCCTGATACTCAGCAATCCCTCTCCTTAAGTATAGGACCTTCTTGAGAAAATGAAATCATATTTCTTCTTTGAGTAGTACTTTAATTAGAATAGAAACAATATACATACACATTTATTGGGTCTAAGTGCCTATGGCTGCATAACGAATTAAAACTAATACCATAACTTATTTTTAAAACTTATTATTATTATTTATTAAGCACCAGCTGAGTGCTCAGCAAGCTACATGATCCAGCGAGTCACAACACTTCAGAAGCTCAGTCTTTAATAGCCTGATTCTACAAAGTGTCTAGAAGCTCTTACAAGGTTCTGGGTGCTCTCTACTCCCATGAACTTCCATTGGTGTTTAGAGAATTCACTTTCCCTGCATGAGATCAAAAAGAGTCAACATGGCCAGGACACAGGAGGAAAATACATTGAGTCTTTTAGAGGAAGTTTCTCTCTTAGAACACTTACTAAAAGAGTTTACCAGGGGTGGGTTTTGTGGAGGAAGTAAGACTTAAACATTGGACGAGATTCTGGAATCCCAGAAGTTGGGAAAATCCCTAATAGCTGCTCTTTTACCCCATTGAAATAAAAGGGCAACTGTCTGCAATCCACATACCTAAGAAAATTATAATGTCTTCAGTTTCAGTCTCCAGCAAGGCTGTCCGGAAAACAATTCCATTTTACACACAGTTTTGAGGTTTCAAAATTTGTTTTTGTTCCAACGTGGAGTAAAACCAAGACCTTTAAAAAATTGCATAACTATCCCGATAAGACATTGATACCCTAGAATAGCACAATTCAATCACTGCTCCAAATCCGGCAGAGCAGGGGCTAGAACGTGGGTTTCCCATGTTCGCTGTATACGTCCTGGCTATTGGCTATTCTGGTCTCTCTTGTTCAGACCTGGAATTCCATCCTGGACCTGAGAAACATTTTAATCAAAACAGGTATGTTTTCCCATGAAATATTAAGATTTTGGTGAAATGACCTTTTTTGAGAGAGAAAGATTTGTCAACTTTTTTTTTTTTTTTTTTTTTTTTACCAGCTCTAGTCACAAGGAAGCTGCTGACAAATTCTGTCATGTTAATAGGGAGGTATTACTAAAAAATAAACATTGAACAATTGAGCTCTTAACATTTAAGTTGTTTTCACATACAGCAAAAATGGTGAGTTATTTAAGATTAAATCATAACATATGGAATTTAAGCATTTGCAGGCTTAAAAACACACACAATCAATCTGGGATGTTATGAAGTTTGAGTGTGAAATCTCAACCCTATTGAAATTAGAGAGTTTTGCCATTGACTTCAATGGGGCCAGGATTTCATCTTAAATTGTTCAGAATCCCAAAATAACAACCACTTTCCAAGTTCTAACATTCCTTAGAGGCTGCAAATCACATCTGAGCCAATGTATAACATCTTTGAAGTTTGGCTTATCTAAGAATGGGAATTTAATTGTTGTCTTTGGTGGTACAATATTCTCTACACCGCTTTAGCTCCTGAGGTCTTGATGATGTGCTTTAGTTCAGAATGCCAGAAAAGGCTACAACTTTATGGAGATGAAAAATGGAAGTATATTTTTCCGCTCTAAACTAGTTCAGAGTTGAGACACCTCCTTAAATTATCTATCCAAAAAAGCCATTCGGGCTCCTGTTGCCAGAACCATATGCCACAAATGCTGCTAAACCTAGGTTTAGCTGGCTTCCCCCTGTTGCTTTAGATTCCAACCAGCCCTACAGACAGATCCAAAGATGATTAGATATCAGAACTAGTAATGGGTTCAGGAGGTGTTCTTCAGGTTTGGATTGCCCTTAAACTAGACCTTGAGTATGAGACTGATGAGGGCTAGCACTATGGTTTCATTATCTTGAATGATGGAAATATCACTAGATTGGATAATGTGAGTTGTCTACCATCTTGCGCTGAAATCTTGCAAGAACAACTATTTCCTGATACGTTAGTCAAACCCAAACTGGAACAAGAAAATAGGCTTATTTTTAAAATCAAACCCAGAACAAATGTCTTATGGGGAGTTTAGCACCCAAGACTCCAGTAAAAGCCTGCCCAGACATTTTGAAGGGGTTTGGAAGCCAATGGGACTACTCACATGAGTAAGTCAGTCCCTGCAAGATCAGCAC